ACATATATATACATATACATATATGAACACAAGCACAAACAAAGTAATGTGTACACGTTACATGTTTGTGTACACGAGTGAAGAGTTGTGTACACACACACACACACACACACACATACACACACACACACACACACACACACACACACACACACATATGTATATATATATATATATATATATATATATATATATATATGTATGTATGTATGTATATATATATATATATATATTTTTTTTTTTTTTTTTTTTTTTTTTTTTTTAATCAATGTCCTCATTCTTTAATGTAGGTTGAAGCTGAATACCCGAGTCCTGCAAAAGGCCAAACAAGTGGTCGAGAAAGAGTTCGTGGTCGTAGGAATCCAGGAACAGCTGGACGACACCCTTTTGGTTCTGCAGCATCTCATTCCCAACATCTTCGCTGGCGCTACAGAGATGGGTGAGGCTGTGGATGCTGTGCTTTGTGCCTTGTGCGTGGTTGAGTGTGATGTGTGTTAAATGGTTCAATGTATATATGATATTTCCTGATGTAATGATGGAGATCTATCCACTAATAAGGACTGACCTGCTCTGACCTGTTGAGGTCACATCTATGAGGGCCTATCAGTTAATGTCACTAATCCTGAACAAAAAGTCATGCAATGGTCAACTAGGAAGCTTTGAGTGAAGTCCAGATATCTTCCGGAGACAGCCCTCCCCCGAATACTGAAAGGGTTAGAGGAGTTAATTCTTTTGTGATATTTATTGGCACAGAATATACAGTGAGTATATGGTAGTACATCTATACGTCAAGAGGGTAGCCGTCTCTTTGTCTGGGCTAGACCCATTATGGTCCGCGGGGTATAGCAACCAGAGAGTGTTGCTAAGCACCTAGAGTGAGATGCCAGTAGTTGCGGCAGCTCACGTAACATAACATATATATACATGATAGTTATTATAGGACAATAATATAACTATTCCACAGAGTCCTTCACTCGCGTCGAGGAATTCTATCTCCATTGCCAATGTTGAGCCATCAGTCAATGCTGACTTGCTAATTGCTGTAGAACTATACTGTACCCTTTCCTCTGTAGGGTGCTGCCGGCCACAGGGAGCCGAGAGTACACTCACCACGGTCTACTCTGGTAGGGCGCATTGACTGCAGGAAAATAGGCACAGCAGAGTTTGCATTTGTTCCTGAAGGGCCTGTTGGCTTGCAGCAGGCTTTGGAGATCATCCATGAGCTCCTGTCATAGCGCCGTAACCTCCCTTGTCACTCCCAGCTCCTCCTTAGCCTGCCCTTCCACTGGGGTAGGTGAATGAGATGCCCTGCATCGGGAGGTCCTGGTCTTGGCCATTTCTCCACAAACGCGTCACACTAGTGACGATGGCACTTAAGCAATACTAAGGAATAGAAGAGAGGCATGTGGGGTTTCTGATAGTGCTCCCACTAAACTATCTCACCGCTACCACCAAAATTATATTGTGCGGAACCTCTGTTCGAGGTTCCAGTTTAACTTATGATAATGCTAGTGTGGTTCAAAAGAAATTGTTTCTGCCTTTACGTTTATTCACTGGACACAAGCGCAACACAAGACATAAATACAACATAGTATGCTAGTCAGGGCCCACAACACATACACTCATTAGGTATTTTATCATTTGACCAGTCTTGAAATAGCTGGTCAATTATCTGTTACTAAGCCTGAACAAGAGGTCATGCAAAGTTCAACCAGGTGGCCTTCAGTGAATAGACTGGCAGCAGAGGGGAGTTTGGTCACACGACCGTGATATCTGTTGTGGAGGAGAGATCACAGGAACTGGATGTCTGCCGGGGACCCTCTGCTGCATTTAGCCCCTGGGAACCCCAAAATGAGGAAAACAAAAGTCAATAAATAAATTATTAAATAATTATATAAAATAAAAGTAAAAAATAGCTCGATCAAACATAAATAAGTGCTTTACTCATCACAATGGGTAATTGGTTCTTGACAGGCATAATCTCTGCTGCATTAGGCCTGCCAGACACCCAAAAAGGGCCTAAAAATTTTGGTTTGGTCAAACATAATTGGTACCACTTGAAACAAAGTTTATATACTTCGACACATCTCAGCAATTACAAAATGGTCATTACTAGACAAATTATTCGCTGTATAATGCCCGGTAGACATGCCCAAACGTTGACCCTACCCTCTGCTCTGGCAAAAGTACATAAAACATGAAATGTACTGAATGAAACCACTTTTGAAAAAAAGGCAACATTCCACAAAGTGCAGAGTGGCCCTTGCCAAAATACTGCCTGCTGCATTAGGCCCGCTAGATAAACAAGAGGAGCCTAAAAATTTTGCAAGATCAAACAATACTGGTACCACTTGGAACAAGGTTTCAATACTTCGGCAAATCTCAGAGAGTACAGAATGGCCAATGCCAGATAAATTATCTGCTGCATTATGCCCGGCAGACACGTCCAAAAGTTGTCCCTCACCACACTAGATGTTAACAAAATCAATGGTTTCATCAGATATTACGTTCAACTTAATAGCCCACCAGCACCCCCTAAACATCACAATTTAAAGTCATTTTCACTTCCATCTCTCTCTCGAGGTATATAAACTTTATTTCAAGTGCTACCAATAATGTTTGATCTAGTCGAAATTTTTAGGCCCTTTGAGTGTCTAATGCAGCAAGGATTATATCTGTTAAGTACCAATACTTACCCAGATGAGCAAATCACTATGAATTGAATTGTGTGTGGTACCTATCTATGTTTGATCAAGCTTTTTTTTCCTCATTTGGGGGTTCCCAGGGGCCAAATGCATCAGGGTGTCCTCGGCAAACGTCCAGTTCTATCATTCTTTGCTTGATCCTGCACTCCACAATTGGTATCAAGTTCGTTTGATTAATCTGTCCTCAGCTGTTGCTCTAGAAGTCCAAGTGTTGTATGGATACCCTTCTACAAGTATTTTTATTGTTATTATTTTTATCAGTATCATTATCATTAATAATAATAATATCATTAACATTATCATTATCATCTTCACCATCATCATTATCATCATCATCATCATCATTATCATCATCATCACCATCATCATTGTAATAATTATTATTACCCTGACCTCGTTCCTTTCAACCCACAGAGTACAAAAACTGGAACATCCAAGCTTCGAAACCTCCAACCTCCAACAAGACACTTTCGATTCTCCAACGGTGGCTGAGGATCGACATCGAATTTTACGATTACTTAAAACAACGATTCCACAAGCAGCTGGAAAAAGTCAAAGAACAACTGAGGAATAATTTTTAATTTTTCTTACTCTTTAAGTCAACATTATGTTTGAGAATTCTTGAAATTTGATAATGTCGATTTTTTTTGTCCGTTAATCCTTTGGTTGTAGGAACTGGATGTGGCATTTTGTCAGAAATAGCATGGCTTATTTATCTTTTAGCGATCGTCTAGGATCATCAAATTTCATATGTTAGCTGCCATTTTATATGTATGCATATGCATACATACATGCATGTTTATGTATATATATATATATATATATATATATATATATATATATATGTGTGTGTGTGTGTGTGTGTGTGTGTGTGTGTGTGTGTGTGTGTGTGTGTGTGTATACGTATATATATATGTATGTATATGTATATTTATGTATGCATATATATATATATATATATATATATATATATATATATATATATATATATACTCGTATATATATGCATAAGCATGTATGCAAACAAACGAGAGTGGACACGCGTATCACGACACGATTCATACGTAAATTTATTTTGTTTTTACAAATCTCTCTTCCATCAGAGGAACTGCATTCCCATGTCCATGGAATTAAAATTTTGTGATTCCAACTCGTTTTTAGACCGGTAAAGAGGGTGATGTCTACTCCATGCATTACTCTTGCTACATCATGATCGATACAAATAAACTACAAACATTATAATCTAAACAGCTGATGTAATTGTTTCTATATATAGCACGATCCCATAATGATTTCTGTTAGATACATAGGTTATGCTAATGTGAACACTATTTGATCATTAGCAGAAATTAGCAATTAAAATAGGGAGCAAGACTGTCAGATGTTCTCAGATATCAGACGATGCTGTGTTTATTAGCACAGTAAGTTCAGTCTGTTTGCGAATACCTCAGTGTGGCGAGCAGGAGGATTCCACGGGGGCTCCTATTACTAACTTCGAGCGGTGGTGCTGTTCATCTTAACCCTAGTTTTGCTAATCACTGATATATGAAAGTAAGTATTACTTACAGTAGATCTTTCCTCGTCGGTTGACATAAGACTTCTAAATAACCCTGATTATTTTTGTAGCTAATATTATTGGATGTACAGTCCTCTAGTCATTGCGAATTTTGTTGCACATGGAACACGAACACACGCATGCGCACACATGTCGATGTATACATGTTTGGTACAAAATACAATTATACAAAACACACTCTGTGTGTGTGTGTGTGTGTGTGTGTGTGTGTGTGTGTGTGTGTGTGTGTGTGTGTGTGTGAAACCTTCATTTCTAATCACAAGAAATTAAATCACTAGATAAAGATTATATGAGTTTATAACGAATGATAAACACCCACTAATACCTTGACTGGCATGATTAGCGACACCATATAAATAACATTAGCATAAACCTCGTTCCGGGGCTGCCTTCCGCGCCATGATCATGAGCGGGCGACATACGTAGGAAGTTTTCATTTTGCACTCTTTGAAAACGAGACAATCAGCATTTTATCGTTATGAAACCATAGCTAAGTGTTATTTGATAGAATGATCAATACTCTAGTTATCAAAAATCCGTTTAAGATTATAATTGGAGTAAACATCTGAAAATGGTTTCGATAGGAGTATACATGTTGCATGTACGCTAATATTTAGCTTATATATATGTATATGTATATGTGTATGTGTGTGTGTGTGTGTGTGTGTGTGTGTGTGTGTGTGTGTGTGTGTGTGTGTGTGTGTGTGTGTGTGTGTGTGTGTGTGTGTGCTTTTACCGTTAACTTCAAAATGGTCTGAGAATAGTGGTCATTATTTTCGTAATTGTAACTGCTCTCATTAACACTGTTATTATTAGTATCATTATTACCATAAATAGTATTGTCATTATTATTACCATTATTATTCTAAACATTCTTATTGTTTTCATCACTAATGAATTGCATTGATAATAATAACGTTATTAGTGATGAAACGGATGATCATGATGATTGTAATGAAAATGATGGTAATGATAATGATAATGATGATAAAGATAATGATGATGTTAATAACAGTGATGATAATGATGACAGTGATATTATTGATAATAGTGACGATAATGATAATAATAATAATAATAAATAAATAAAGATATCGATAATGATGGTGGAAATGTTATTGATGATATTCACAATGATAATAAAAAGATTATATCAATAATAGGAATGCTAATAACATTAATAATAATAACGATACTCATTATAGTGATGATAATGACATTAAGGATAATGGCGATGATGAAGATAATGACGATAGTGATAGTGATGGTAAGACTAAGAATTATAATAAAAACAATATCAGTCATGGTGGTAATAATGATGATAATAATGTAACAATGATGACGATGGTAATGATGATGAGGATCATACTACTACTACAACTATTACTCGTCCTACTACTGCTACTACTTGATAATGATTATAATAGCAATGGTAATAACAATAACAATAACGTCAAATGTGATAATATATAAGGCACAATTACGAATACTAATAAGGATGATAAAACTGTTAATGATAATTAGAAAAATAATCCTGATAATACTAATACAAATAGTAATGATAATGATAATAGCAATAATGGTGCTGATGATAATAATAATGATAATCATAATAGTTGTAATAGTGATACTACTAACAATAAGAATAATAATGATAATAATATCGATAATGCTACTAACAATAATGATAATAATACTAATGATAACAACAATCATAGTAATAATGATAATGTTAATGATAACAACAGTGATAATAATAAGATAATGATGATAATAACAACAATAATAACAATTATAACGATAATGACAATGATGATCATGATAATATTAAAGGAATTAGTGATTATAAATATAATTGTGATGATGAGTGTGATAATGATCGAGGTAATAATACTGATAATAATGATAATGATTTTGATGAAAATAATGATAATGATGATCTTAACAATAATGATGATAATAACATTAATAATAATGATAATGATGACAAGGGTAGAGTGGACATAATGACAGTCACAATAATAACAATGGTAAGAATGATAATGGTGACTATAATGATGATGATGATAATGGTAATAATATCTATAATGATAACAATGATAATGATAGAAATAATAATGATCATTAAAAGTATTGATTACATTGACATTAGTAAAGATGATATTAATGATGATGATACTGATAATGATTGCAATAACAGTGATAATGATATAATAATAACAATAATGATACTAATAATAAGGAAGATAGTATTGATGATGATGATAATGATTATTATGATAATAATGATAACAATAATTATTATGATGATAATATAATGATAATAATAATAATTATTATTATTATGATCATCATTATTATTATTACCATCATTATTGTTATTGTTATTATAATAGTAAGAACAATAATAATGATAACGATATTAATAAAAAACAATAATAATGAAGATAGTAATAATGATGGTGATGGTGATGATGAATCATGATGATAATAGTAATAATAATGATAACGATAGTTATATCAAAAGCTACAAAATATGAAGAATGGCATTAATAGTAATTACAACGATAACAATGCTATTGACCATGATAATAATAAGTGATAAGGATAGGATAACAAATATGATAATAAGTATAATAGCAATGATGATAATAGTGACAATAACATTGAACATAATAATAATGATAACAGAAATAATGATGATGATGATGATAATAATAATAACAAAGATAATGATCATTATCATAATGATGTTGATATCAATAATAATAATAATAATAATAATAATAATAATAATAATAATAATAATAAATAATAAAAATAATAATAATTGTAATGGCTATAGGAACGATGATAATGAGGACAATAAAAATGATAATAGCAATGATAACGATAATCATCATAGTAATGATATCAATCATTATAATAATAATAACTATAAGCACTATTAAGGCAATGTTGCCTTTGCAAAGGGGCAACTGATGCGATCCTTTGAAAAGGGTTGGGCTAAAACACCTCTAGTAAAAATTTCATAAAAATCTATTCATAACTTTTCGAGTTATCCCGCTTATCAACCAACCAGCAAACAAACTAACTGTCCAACGCTACCAAAAACATCATTAGGTAATTATCATGACCTCCTTGGCAGAGGTAATGACATTTGTAATGGTAGTAGAATCGATGGTAATGATAACAATTAAAATGTTAATAACATTGATAATGGTAATAACAACAATAACAATGCGAATGGCGATGACCATGGTAACAATAATGAAAAAAATAGCAATAATTATTATGATCATAATAACAAAAACAGTAATAACAATCATGAAAATAATAATAATAAAATTGATAATTGATAATAATAGTAATAAAGATAATAGTATAATGCTGACATCAAAACAATTTTAGCGACAGTAAATCTAAAATAATCATGATCATTGTTATCAATGTCAACATATTTGGAACCGATCTTGCTAATGATACTAATGGAAATAACTTTTTTCTTCATCAGACGCGGCGCAGAGAAGGTAGCATGGTGAAAGTGAAACGTTTACTGATCCTCCTGAACGTGGGGATGGCCTTCCTGTGTCTCACGGCCCTTGCAATCCTGAAGGAAAGGGTCACCTCCTCATCTCATTTCCGGGAATTGGTTGAATATCACGTTCCTTTGAGAGAGGATCTTGTTGCACTCCGACCGCAGGTTTCTTCAACTCGGCCGATATCTCTACGCAGGATTGGGAACCCTGCCACGCTCCCCCAGCCCAGTGGGCGGGACTCAGCTTCGCTTTCCCAACCCCAGGACTCTGCCATGTTCTCCGAGTTCGAGCCTCAGGACCCTGTTAAATCGCCCCAGTTCGAGTCCACGTCCTCCCAGCTGAAACCTCGCGACTCTGCCACGCTCAGTGAGCGGGACTCGGCAAAGGAATGACAAAGGCAATACCAAAGAAGGTGAGTGGAAAGGGGAGAAAGACATTTTTACTTTTTTTTCATTAATCTGTGTGCAAGTATGATAGGGCATGGTTATACATTGGTAATGACAGTTCTATGTTTGGGATGGTCTGCAGTTAACCAGTATTTATCACCCAATATTGGACAACTTACCAGTATATGTTGATGCTAATATTTCATCATATCCAGCATTCCCCACAACAGCTCCTTGAATTCCTGTGATGCTTTCATTGCATGATCATGAAAAAGTAAAAGTTTTCAAAATATGTTTAGGAAATTTTTTGTGTAAAAGACAATGAAAAAATATTTAGATATTCAAATTCAATCAGTGCTTAATCAGGAAACAATTAAATGCATTCATTAAGGCTACTTAAAAATTCTTCATATATCCATGGATCAACAGCACAATTAATAGTGCACAATATTTTATATTGAAAAATTTTGCCAGCTAAATTCACACTCACAAAAAAAAAAAAAAAAAAACAATGAAAAGATAAAATTAAAACAAAAATAACTACACCACTCACAGTAGAAAACCTAAGAGTAGGTTCTGACTCATCACCATCTTCATAGGCAAACACTTCTATAGTTCCATCATCTCTTCCCACCAGTAAATCCCTCACACCATCTCCAGTTATATCATGGTGATCCATACAAGTGATCCCTCCCTGTCTTGTTCCGACACTCCCACTGCTATTTTCGAGGACCCATCGATGTGCTGCAGAACCCCTGGAAGATCATCAGATGCCTGATTATTTTTTTTAGTTGAACTTGCAAACTGCAACTTCCCTAAGTAACACCTTTGCTGCAGCAATATTCTACATTCCTGTCAAGTTAAAACATTAAAATAATACTCTGAAATATTTTATAAAAGATCATGAATTGAACAGGAACATATTTTTAGCAATATATAGCTGCACTAACTGCAAAACACAGACTCCTCCAATGCTGTCACAGACCTGCCAAGCTGAACCAGTCCAATCTTTCCATCTGTGGTTCCGTAAAGCAACTGATCTCCATTTTCTCCTCCATCATTGTAGAAGAGTTGCAGGCTGGATGGAGGTGACGGTAATTCAACTGAATAAAGCACCTCAGAGTCTCTCATTACTCGAAGTAATCGGTCCTCACATGCAAGCACTGGTATAAGGGACTTCATCTAGAAAAATTAAATAACTCTATTTAGCAGTGATTTTCTATAAATCTTTCAACACAAATTATGAAAAATAAATACTTTTAATGTCTTCTATATTTTCTACTACCTATGAGCATCTATTACCAAATGCGTTTGCCAATATTCATCAACAATATCTCACAGTCTTTCTTCAAAATCAAAACTGATCATATATCAAACTAATGAACAAAGGGAAAAATGTATATGGAATCAAAATCTGTCAAAAACATCAATAAAAATGTAAAGCTGATTATACTATACAAATCCAAGAGCAAAAACACATACTAATACCTCAGAGTAACCAATCCAAGATAACTGAATCTAACAAATGGCTAAACATACTTAAAGTACATCAAATATGATAACAGTCACCAATAAAACCATGTTGCATTTCATAGCAACCACTGTAAAGTACTTGGCGAATAATTACATTCTACAGTAAGGTAAAAGTGTAGACATTCGTATGGACTAAGGAAGGTTATACCATTATCTCATCCAATAATCTTGACCAGAATTCCTACACAACAGACAAAGACTCCTTCGCTTCATGGTAAGAATTAAGGAGGAGGATAATATGCAATATGTTGTGTAAACATG